CAAGATTCGGAGGGCGTTCCAGATTTGGGTCACTTTCAAGAAAACTCTAGATCTTTGATAGCCATCTTGAGTCAATTCTGATATTCAGATCTCTTCATCTGAAGTTTTATCTTCAAAATGAGCCTAAGATTTCCAAAATCGGTTGACGTGGAAAAAAGTTATGGCTGCAAAACCAAAAAGTTGATTTTTTGAGATCACTCTGTAAATAAGAGAGGTAGGAAGTTGATTCGCGAAATATCTCGAGGTAATGAGATCATCTTTATGCCTCTGTTGTCAAAGTTGAGAAAACATTTTTTTTCGCCATTTGAGAGCCTTTTGAATATTCCGAAATTTTGCACAGTGTCGGAAAACACCATGTAGAGATTTTATGTGAATACCCTTATGTTTCAATGAAGTACCAGATTATAGTTGAAGGACTGGGCTATCGAACAGTGTGAACCAAATTCAAATTGTTCTAAACTGAAAAAAGTTATTCACATTATAACAGGGGCGACATTTTGGTGTGCGACGAAATTAGTGTTGAGTAGTTTAATTATTTACAAGTGTTCATAAGTCCAAAACTATTAACTTTTTTGATAGAAAACCATTTATCAAACTTGTTCAGAATTTAACGTAGAATGTAATAATGCAATGAAATACAGGGTGTCCCATTTAAAAAAATTAACTTCTAAGTCACCGTGCTTTTTAGAGACACTCTGTATGAATGAAACTTAAACCATTAAAGAGATCGAATGAAACCCTACAACTTATGTATTCAACATTTTTTTGTAATATGTCGAATAAGAAGTTACAGGGGGGGCGACGGACTTTTGGTCCTCACTGTATAGTCACTTCTCACTGGGAAATGTTAATGGGATGACATTTAAAACGGAAGCAGATTAGTTTCGAGAAAGCCTAAAGCTCAAAAGTAAGAGAAAATCCGAAAAATCTAGAGATATCAACACTCGTATCAACATACCACCACCTCAATCAACCTTAGACAGAAATTATCATGAATATCACCTTGAATTACTCAAGTCAGAATAATGATAAATTTATTAGCACTTGATATCATTAGTGCATAAAATTCTCAATTTAATGACTTTTTAGTACATTAATTAGTACATCAAGTATTCTCAGGAGTAGGTATTCTTGAATATGTTTAAATACTGTTCATTGAACTCCAAATACTTCTAGGACATATTATTTTTACTATTACCAGGTGGCGTATGGAGTTCCTAACAAGGCTTACAGAACAGAGATTGGATGAAGGGCCTCTAGTAAGTTTGATGGCCAGTTGGTATGTACCAGGTATGTACATACATACCAATAAAGTAGGTACATATATACCTACTACTAAAATATTCCATTATTTACTCTCATATTCCATATATCTATTATATATACCTTATCATCAAAAACAGTTTTTTGAGGAAATGGCGAAAAACGGTTGATTAATTAGGCAGGGCCCAGAAGAAGTGTTGGCCCAGGGCCCCACAAATACCTAGAGGCAATTTCATTTCTGGTTTAATGTTTTATTGGAAATTGAGATGGGAGGAGTGTCAAAGCATGCATTGTGACAAACTAAATTATAAAATGATAGTTATACTGAAAGGATAGCTATTATAGCTCTTGCCTACTAACTACCTAACTAGGTTGTCATCTAGAACGACAATGGGATAGCAAACAAACCCTGAAGCCCGTGAGCAAATAATACTAGGTTAGGGAATCTTCTTGGGAGTCCTGGTACTCAAATATGGTAGGGTGACACCGCCTTAAACCATTAAGGTAGAAACAAGAAATAAACCCCGTCACCACATTTCCTTTTTACATTTTTCATAGTTTGTGGAGTTCAAAAAACAAACTGAGCTTACTTACTTTTTATTAAAGCAAAAGGATGTCTGTTGGATTACATTGTTTGTTCTTGAGTAGAAATAATGCCTAATTGTCTAATGAAGACAATGAACTAGGTAGGAGAACAAAGTTCTCTTGTTGCTTAACTTCTTCGCAGAATCGAGATCGTAAAAATCTCCCTCTAATCTAATCAGTCTAAACTGAAAATAGCAACTTGTAGCTTGCAACTTGTAGCTTGCAACTTGTTGACTGTCGTTGACAGATGGATGAATAAACAACCAAATGATGACTTGACTGATGTGACTTGATGAACCTGAACCAACCTGAACTGCCAGAACTGATGACATAATAGGCCCTTTCTAGTTTCTTTTGCACGAATAGTGTAGCACTTTCGGGTTCAAGTTTCGTTTAGCTGAAATCAGTTATGGAAAATTTGTTTCTATGGCAACCGTTGTCATGGTTACAGGTAAACAGAAAACAAAATCCTGTGGTGAGGAAATGCATGGTTGCCAAGTTGTATCGGGTTTAGTATAGCTGAAATCAGTTATGGAAAAACTGTTGCCATGGCAACGATCGTCATGGTAAGGAGTAAACCAATGATCTAATAATATATACTCTACATATATTATTAGATCATTGGAGTAAACAAAAACCAGATTCCCGTGGTGAGGAAATGCGTGGTTGCCAAGTTGTATCGAGTTCAGTTTGGCTGAAATCAGTTATGAAAAAACTGTTGCTATGGCAACGATCGTCATGGTAACGAGTAAACAAAAATCCGATTCCAGTGGTGAGGGAATGCGTGGTGGCCAAGTTGTATCGGGTTTAGTATAGCTGAAATCAGCCTCAAATTTTGTTCCACAAAAGTTCTTGCTAGTATTCAAACAATAACTTGATTCGAATGAATACCCTCCTTATCAATTCCTTGAAGACTGTTCGTCGTTGATAAATTCCCAAAATTACTACTTCTCTGACGATCATATATGGAAATAACGTCAGGAAAAAATTGGCTTTGTTATTGAACAGAGCTACACAAAATAGCGAGCGACAAAATAGTGCGGAACAATAAATAGCGCATAAGGAAGGATACTACTTTTTCTAAACAATCTAACCTAACTCGGCTTAAATGAACCTTCTTAGAAAAAATATATTTTTTTCTGTGACGGGAAAAAAGTTTGGCATTTCATCTCTGTTGGCAGGTTATAAAATGTCACTTTTCATAAATTACTTTTTTCCCGTGGGCAAAAAGTGAGTACTTTTTTCCCGGATATATATATCACATATATATACACTGTTGATGGCTTTTGTTGTGCTATAGTTCCGAAAAATGAGTCAATAATACCGTCTCCGAGAAAGAACTGCAAGTCCTTATCTTCGATTCGACCTCGCGGTTACGTATATATTCCTAAACAACCACTAAATTCGCAATTTTTTGAAATCAAATCACAGAATTAGACTGACAGAAGTGACATCAAATATTTGATTACTTCAAAAGAATGATAAAGATGCCTATAGAACGCAGGTGTCCCTACTGTTAAAAACTTAAAATTTCACGTCGATAATTTTCAGATTTCAAAATGATGTAACATTTTCTCAATATTGATTCGTCCTTTCTTCTGTCACAGAAAAAAATAGTGTATTATACACGGGAAAAATATTAGATTTTAGCTCACGGTTTTTTGTCTCCCTCCGCTACGCGTCGGGAGACAACACAAGCTGGAGCTAAAATCTACAACTTTTTTCCCTTGTATAATAAATAACTATTTCATCATCGATCAGATTTGGGAGCAAGGCATCGTTCGTGTGTGTTTGAAGACTGCATAGAAAAGGACACTACTTTTTTCAAACAATCTAACCTAACTTGACTTGAATCAACCTTCTTCTTGAAAAACATATATTTTTCGACATCGTTCAGATTTGGTAGCAAGGCATCGTTCGTGTATGTTCGAAGACTGTTGCTGAATCAAAATGTGCGCGTGAAGAAAGGTATGGGTGAATCGAAATGAAGGCAAATGGAAATGTGGGTGGGTCTAACGAGATGTTTCCATCTGTATTAGACAATCAGTACCTGTAGTCTCTCTTCCTATATCCTGCGCGATACCTCGTAATGAATATTCCAAAATGGCTCTGTTTCTTTTTGGTTTTGTCGAATATCTCGGCACGCGAAGGATGGTTACATTGAAGAGTGTTTTTGAAATTGATGAATGAAGCAATAATTCTCCGATACAACTTGGCAACCACGCATTTCCTCACCACGGGAATCAGGTTTTTGTTTATTCCTTATCATGACGATCGTTGCCATGGCAACAGTTTTTCCATAACCGATTTCAGCTATACTAAACCCGATACAATTTGGCAACCCGCATTTCCTCACCATGGGCATCGGGTTTTTGTTTACTCGTTATCATGACGATCGTTTCCATGACAACAGTTTTTCCACAACTCATTTCAGCTATACTAAACCCGATATACAACTTGGCAACCACGCATTTCCTCACCACGGGAATCCACGGGAATCGGGTTTTTGTTTACTCGTTACTATGACGATCGTTGCCATAGCAACAGTTTTTTCATAACTGATTTCAGCTAAACGAAACTTGAGACTTGAGCCTCATAATCAATGCATAAGTAATCAGTAGCTCCATAATTATACTCCATACCTCAAAACACACATACCTGGTACCACGACCTGGTAAATAGCCCCAGGAACGAAATTTCAGATAGGTATTCCTCTCTGTTCTACTGATCCATCCAAAATTGCCTTCTCATTTCGAAGAATGAAGGTATTATACAGTAGAGTATATGTAAATATCCATATTATATAATGGCAATAATAATTTTATACTATAATTTAATATAAATATACTGAGCAGACCAAAAAGTTAGTATCTATTTGGTGAACAACATTTCATATTTCATGACATTTCGCTTCAAGGTTGACAACTTGTCATCTTACTGCCTGTGACGTCACGAGTGACCGTTTCCCCCCCTTGCCGCACTATCGATCGTGGCAACCTTCCTATACAAATTATAAACAGTTCTACCAACCTTGTTTCTATCGCGACTAGAGACAGAAGTTGTTCCCGTTTTGAGGACAGCTTTGCTTCATATATGAGTAGTAGATATATGCACCACTGTCACACTTGTGTCAGAGTATCAGCTGTTCAGTCAAAGAATGTGGTTGTGTTTATGTGTCACTTGTGTCAGTGATTTGAAGACAGACACAAATCTATTTATTATTTATTTTATTAATAATTTCATATTCCTACCTAATAATACGTTTTATATGAATAGTGTAATGTAAATTTCATAAATAGTTATGAAAATGCGATCATTAAAATCACCACAGTCAAGCTACAAAAACACTCAAAGTTGGACGGACGATTTACCAATTTGCAAAAATACTGGTATAGGATTTTCAACAAATCAAATTTATCGTGAAGATGGTAATCCACAAGAGGCCCACCAATATGAAGACTGCAGTTGTCATTTCAAGTTCAATGATTCATTTTATTGGTATGCACTGTTTGATGGTCATGAAGGCAAAAGAGCTGCAGAATTCTGTTGGCAAAGGTTAACAGCTGAAATATACTTTTCCCAGTTGGACGAGATAAAAACCAACGATGAAGTCAAAGAACTCCTAAATCAAGCCTTCATAACAGTTGAGAAAGCCTACATGGAAAGCCTGGAAGATGTTGTAGCTGAAAGAACTAGTTTATTATATGACATTCCAGCTGGTCTCAATTCCTATGAAGCCTATCAAAAAATGCCTCAGGTTGTTGAGGGTATCAATAGATTGAATTGTGAATTATCTTCTGGGACTGCAGCTGCTGTTGCTCTAATCTATAAGAATAAGTTATATGTTGCTAATGTTGGAAACTGTAGAGTTTTATTATGCCAGAATGATGCAAATTCAGTATTAAAAGTTGTTCAACTGAGTGTAGATCATGATTTGAAAAATGAGGATGAATTGTTGAGATTGTCACAGATTGGTATCAACACTAAAAGTCTGAGGCACAGTAAGTATTTTTTGATCTGAGGTTTGTTTTGTTATGCAAAAATGATGAATCCAGATCAATCTCAAGGCTGTCTCACAACTGTACTGCATTCTTGGGCAGCTGATTCAAAAATTTCTGGTCTCAAACAAAAAAAAATGGCAGATTGTTGATTTATCTTGTTAAGAGAAATCTTCTCAGAAACCATTTGGTCTTCTGAACATAGGTAATGAAGTTGGTCCTGTAGTTTAGTTTTTGGCACAAACAAGAGGATTTTTTTCCTATAATGTTTGAAAAACATGGTGATTTACTAGGGCTGGGGACAGGAGGTAGGTATTGGAATTTTTTTGAACTCATAAACAATTAATTGTTCCTCCCTTGGCAGTCCACTAGAGTTGAGGCTTTGCACCCTTTTGTGGTCACTTTGGAGACTTGCAGAACATCTCTTTCCAAAGACCTGTTCATTCAATGAACAGCGAGGCTCTGGAACACATTGCCAAGGGAGGTGTTCCCCGAGGCATATAACCCCCAGAAATTTAAGAAGAACATCAATTCCTACCTTATTTCCCTTGGTTCTCATGATGTTCTCTGAACATTACAGGATATCCCTTTTGTGGGAACCATAACATAAAAAAAGGTTACAAGTTCTTGGGAAATACTTCCATTGGCATTGGCAAAGAATTCCAAAGCTTTGCTGTTCTAGGAAGGAACCAGTCTTATTGTGTGTGTTCAATAGAAGTAATTCAATATTCGTCGTGGAGGAAAGTAGCTGTTTTCTGTTGAATAAACCAAGAAAGAATTAAAATTGTCATCACATGGAGAATGGAAATTCTCAATGTATTTCTTTATATATATCATCTTTTTGTGTTCATAAATATATCTGAGAATATTCCTTTTCAATTTCTTTATATTTTTCATTGATTTTCTGTTCAACTAACTAGAGGTATCTGTATGAATGATGAAACTTCAGAAACTTCATCTTTTGTGATGTATTGCTGCAATGAATGGCTTATTTTACACAGTACTTCTAATATTCCTTATTTTCCTTTCCTTTTTTCGTTATTTATTATGCATTGGGAACCTTTTTTCAGGCACCCGACTTGGAAATCAAGAAAACACTCGTTGCATCGGTAATTACATGGTGAAAGGTGGCTACAAAGATTTCGAAGACCTAGCGCAGGCCACTAGGGAACCCATAATCGCCGAGCCTGACATACATGGGGGAATCGTTTTGGACGAGTTGTCTCGCTTCCTTTTGCTGATATCTTCTGGTCTATACAAGTCCCTTGAAGCTACCGGAATTGAACAAGTCAATAAATTTATTGCAGAGTGCGTAGTTGAACAGGTATTTTCACAAATAATTATCATTTCGCAAAGTACCTTAAATACACTTGATTGAATATTTTTAATACTGGCATTGAAACAAACCAAACATTATCATCCTCAGAAATCAATTTCAATTTTTGCTATTTTTGGCAATAGTAAATTATTTGCACTAGTGGGACTAAAGTACTTACTGGTCCTCATTCTCATCTAATCATTGATAGGCAACAAAATAATATAAAACTGTTCATTCAGGAACGATTCGTCTGGAATCAATTCTCCAGTCAATTCTGAATGATAGTTTACACAACAAAATGCAAAAACAATAAAATCTATATCTTGAATATTCTGAAAAAATTAGGTGAGCAATAGATATTTGAGAAATACAGAGTATCCCTGAAAAGCCTGTACAATATTTTGGCACATCATATTCATTTCCTGAGGTCAAAATGAGCCTATTCAAATCAACTTACCTTAGTTCATAATTGCTCAGTTTCCAAGCTAAAAAATGAAAATGTGACAGGAACACTTGAAAAAGGTATGTTAAAAAAACCATTCTGAACTGCTTATTCACTCACCAAATTACATTCACAAAGATAACAGCAAACATGTTGTATTCAAAATAATTTAAATATTCTGGTGCCCAATCAAAAATAAAAAACTGAAAAGTATGTATTTAATTTGAAATAATACGAACTGCCACGGCGAACCATATATTCAAGACTGCTTTACATTCATGTATATGTCAAAGAGCTGTTGGGTACGGCGTACAAAAACCTCGCTAGCAAGATCGGCTATCGGTCCGTGATAAAAACACCATAACATAAAAACCTCTCATATAGACATATAGAACACCTTTTCCCCATAAATTATGTGTGAACATAAAAATACAATATCAGCTTCCAATCATATTCTAACTATCACCCCGCAAAAGAGCCCAACGCCTAAGACACTTGTAAGCGATCTGGGACTCTGATTCCACTGCGCCTACGTAGCACTCGCGCATTTGAATGTTCTGTGTCACTCGATTTGTTATCACTCTCACCTCTACCCTCACATGATCCTGGGCTATCAATTACCTCATTTTGTTCGATTGAATCCTTATTAGAACTAGTTAAGCTAGATCGTGGAATGATTGTTGTATTAGGAGTAGGTTTCTGAATGCAATAATTCTTCTTTAATTGGCTTAGATGCCTTTTCCACCTTATTCCACCATCTACCTCAACTACGTAAGTTCTACGACCAAGTATATCGCGCACCACCCCTTGGCACCACTTGTGCTTGTCTTCAGTTGAACGAAAGTCGCTTGCCCATACTTTTTCCCCCAAAGAAAATGAAATATCTCTACATTTTTTATATTTTTGTTCTAGTTTCATTTGTTTGTCTTTTATTAAATTTTCGGTGGAGGGTAACAGCAAATCAAATCGAGTACGCAAAGAACGACCAAAAAGCACCTTTGACGGACATTCTTGAGTAGTGGTGTGAGGCGTATTGCGGTATTGAAAAAGAAACGTGTCTAAAATGAGTTGGATGTCGGTTATTCCATCCTTGTAAGCTTTCCTAAGTGCTCTTTTGGCAATTTTAACTCCTGATTCTGCCAATCCATTCGTTTCGGGATGGTAAGGCGCCCCTGCCTTATGAACGATACCTAAATTGAATAAAAAATCGTGAAATTCTTGAGACACGAATGTTTGTGCATTATCCGTGGAAATTTCTTTAGGTAAACCGAACTTAGAAAATAAATTTCTGAATATTTCTATAGTCTTACGAGATGACATGTCCTTGACAATAAAGCATTCGAGCCACTTCGAGGTGGCATCTTCTACAACTAAAAACGTTTTATTCAAAAATGGTCCAAAGAAATCTGCATGCAAGCGAATCCACGGCTTTTTGGGGGTTTCCCACATAATCAGAGAGGGCTGAGGGGAATTATCAGAGTATATTGCACATGTTTCACATGATCGGGCAATTTTTTCTATGGCTTCGTCAATATTAGGCCACCAAACATAAGAACGCGCTAAAGCCTTCATTTTAACAATGCCAGTATGCGTTAGATGGAGTTCTTCCAATATACTGTTTTGGTAGATAGGTGGTACAATTAAACGGTATCCCCACATTAGACAACCGTGTTCTACCGAAATTTCATTTTTCCTGATGAAGTATGGTTTGAATTCAGGCGAGGGGCATGTGGTTGGCCAACCACTACGAACATAAAAAATCACCTTTCCTAAAATGGAGTTTTTGATCGTTTGTTCCTTGATTCTCAAGAAATTGACAGGAAATCCGGAATTTTTTATGTAATTTAAATAAGAAATGTTATCTTTTTCACTGGAGGCGAACAGCAATGAATTATTTGCCTGAACATAAAAATTGTCAGTTTCGCCCCCCAGTCGTGACAAAAAATCTGAGTAATTTTGCTTAGTGTTAACAAATTTGATTTCATAATCAAATGAAGACAGAATATAGGCCCACCTTTGCAGTCGATTAGCCGCAAAAATTGGTATTCCTTTTTTTTCGCCGAAAATTGCCAAAAGAGGCTTATGGTCTGTGTACAAGGTGAATCTCATCCCATACAAATATTGATAAAATTTTTTGACACCAAATATAATAGCTAGGGCCTCTTTTTCAATCTGAGAAAAAGATAATTCATTTTTATTCAATAATCTAGACGCGAACGCGATCGGTCTCTCTGTCCCATCTGCGTAAGTATGGCTTATGATCGCCCCCAGACCGACGCTAGATGCGTCAACCAATAATTTGATTTGCTGTTTTGGATCAAAATGAGCCAGAACCGAGGGGGACATTAACATTTCCTTAATTGTAGCGAAACTGTTTTGACATTCCTGAGTCCAGTTCCATGGAACATGTTTTTTCAATAAATTATATAAAGGAAAAAGAACAGTGGAGGCGTTTGGCAAAAATTTTACATAATAGTTTACGCCCCCTAAAAAAGATTTTAATTCCGAAATATTCGAGGGAACCTTCGTTTTGACAACTGCCTCCACTCTTTCTTGTGTTTTATGTAACCCGAATTTATCGATTTTATGGCCCATATATGTCAACGAATCCTGCAAAAAGCTACATTTATCTTGTTTTACCTTCAGACCACAGTCTGATAACTTTTGCAAGACTAGTTCCAACCTCTCAAAATGTTCCTCATCATTATTGCCCGTAATCAATATGTCATCCAGAAATGCAATTACGCCAGAGATATTACTGAATAATTGCTCCATAATGACCTGGAATATAGACGGTGCACAATGAATGCCAAAGGGTAGTCTTTGATAAGAGAATAGACCTTTATGCGTGGAAATCGTTACAAGTTCTTTAGAATTATCTTCCAATGAAATTTGTTGATACGCCTCTGAAAGATCTATTTTTGAAAATTTAATACCCCCTTCCAATTGACTAAACAGATATTCTACTCTTGGTAGTGGAAATTGTTGAAATTCAAGTTGGGGGTTCAAGGTCACCTTGAAATCACCACAAATTCTTAACCCACCATTTTTTTTTAGAATAGGTACTATTGGCGTTGCCCATTTTGAAAATTCTGTAGGAACCAAAACCTTATTTTTGACTAAACGTTCCAATTCTAATTCAATTTTCGGCTTGAGTGCGATCGGAACCGGGCGTGCTTTAAAAAAACGTGGTGAGGCATTCTCTTTCAGTTTCAGTGAGACCTTGAACTTATTAAAATTTCCCAATTTCCCGTCAAAAATCTGATCAAATTTTTTCAAAAGACCCTGAAGCTTGGCTGTAGAATTTACGTATAGTAGCCTACTATTATTATCTAATTTACACAATCCAATGTTCAACATTTTTAGGGCATTACGACCAATCAAAGGAGGTCCCCCGTTTTTTATAACATATGTTTTCAATATATAGTCTTGAGAATCATAATTAATTTCCAAATTCAAAAAACCTAAAGGTTTGAAAGAAACCCCGACATAGTCTTTGAGGGATAAGTCATTGTCACTTAACATCAGATTTTTGAAATATCTATTATACATTTTTTCCGAAATAGCCGCGTGGGCAAAACCTGAATCGATTTCGAAATTAAATAGTTTGCCTGCAATATTCAATTTAGCACAAATAGGCTTTTCATCGCCCGCTGAATGATTGTGATAGAGATTGCATTCCGAACCATTACAATTCGGCAACTGTTGATCTCTTAAGTTGAAACATGATTCCTCACTATCATCAGAGTCCTGAAGAAAGTTCTCTTGCAAAAAATTGTGATCATCGCTTTTCTTGCACATAGGAGCCAAGTGGCCCTTAGCACCGCATTTATGGCAAAAACAATTTCGGTAGGCACAATCTGATGACTTGTGGTTTGCGCGGCCACAAACTGAACATTTACTGAACGTCGACTTCCTCCCCCACTGAGATTGCTGAGAGATCTTCTTCGAGGATTGGTAAGCTTTTGACTTACCCCTGTATTGTCCCGAAATACCTGAATTTTGACCATAATGCATATCTTCTGGTTCGGACTTAACTGCCATCTGCACCTGGGCCTGGGGCTCCTTGAAAATTCTCGAATCATGATCAATCACTGCTGACTCCTTGGCCAAGGCAATTTCCGCCATGTGCTGAAGTGTATTCTTACCATCCGTGGCATTTTCTTCGAATAGACGATCCATGAAACGCACTTCGTTTACACCAACCGTGAAAATGTCTCTCATCAACGAATCGAGAGAAATTACGGCGTCGAAACCGCACTTACCCGCCAAACTTTTCACGCGGGCGGCCCACTCACACACCTTCTCACACGGTTCCTTTTTTGCGTTGTAAAATTTATATCTTTCCGAAAAGTAAGATCGCACCGGCGAATAATGTTTCAACAGTAATTTGTCTAATTCATCAAACTTTACTTCCGGTGGAGTTTTAGGTACGCACAGATTTCGAACTAAAATGTAACTCTCCTCGTTCAGCGTGTTTAAGAGAGTCGCGCGCTTTCGATCTTCCTCCGTTATTCCGTTAGCCAAAAAAAACTGTTTCAGCCGTTCCGAAAATACTGCGTAATCTGACTTTCCCGGATTGAATTCACCTAGGGTTCCAAGTAAATTTGTACTCGTCATCTTGTAATAATTTGACTAGGTCCTTATTTGACTGCGCCACTGATAAGTATGTATTTAATTTGAAATAATACGAACTGCCACGGCGAACCATATATTCAAGACTGCTTTACATTCATGTATATGTCAAAGAGCTGTTGGGTACGGCGTACAAAAACCTCGCTAGCAAGATCGGCTATCGGTCCGTGATAAAAACACCATAACATAAAAACCTCTCATATAGACATATAGAACAACTCTGGCTTAACTTTGGCGGATTTTCACAAGAGTATCTTTTTTGCTTGAGAATGTTCAGAAAATCATTTCCTCAACGAAAAGAATGCATAACTACACTTAGAAATATGTTCATTCTAAACTATTAGAAGTGCATTGGTAAGCTCCCTCTAATGGTCACAGTGAAAAGGTGTCCGTATTCAGATTTCGCATCTTAAAATACCCCAGGCTATTAATTTATGAAGTAATTCGTTGAAAAATGTTCATTAACTTTAAAAAATCTCTCAGAAACCAAACAATTTCAGTCTGAGGTGAGTTGGTTTTAATATTCTGAGATCAGGTCATATTCTTTATCTCAGAATAAGCCAAGATTTTGTACACACCTTTTAGGGTTTTTGAGTATTTATTAATATAGTCATGAACAGTCATATGGTTTACATACATTTTTATATACAAAATAAGCTTTAAAGGCTTGTGTGTGCACCAGTCATTATGAAACCACATTTACAACAGAAATTCCACCAATGAGTGAATTTGCTAATGAATAATATATACTTTTTTTTTGGATGTATGATAAGTTGACATTCATCATACAGGACGTGGAAAGATATTCTGAATTGAGAAAAACCTAATCACGAATCTGCGATTGAGGTCTATAAAAATAAGTTTCCATCGTTCACCTTTGAACCCATTGATTGGGCGAAAGTATTGAAAAGGAACATTCTCAGATATATTTATGAATGTTCCTTTTCAATAATATATACATTCCGAATATGAATATACGGGTGTTTCACAGGTGAAGGGAAATAATATTTCAATGGTAAGTAGGGGTCACCAAGGTGGTTCTGAAAATACCATATTTGATAGATCTTAGAGTCTTCATAACGGAGATACAGGGCGATTTATCGATTTCAAATAATTATTCATTTGTCTATATGTATTGACCTACCCACTATATTTTTCTCAAATTTGATAAGGAGCTTATACTTGGACGTTAAATTCATCACCAATCGGGCGGAGTGAAAATCCAGGTTCGGCTTCAGGAAAAATTTACATTTATTCGATATATTAAAATAGCACACTGTATTTAATAATCAACACAGTACATCAAAAGAATTGTGAAGAGGAGAAAAAACTGAATTCGGTTTGAACAGAAAGTTGAAAGTATGTAAATTTGAAGAGTATTGAAATTATGAAACCCGTGTCAATTATGATTATTCGATATTTTAGTCAAAAAATCGCTCTCACAGTCTTTATAACGGAGATACAGGGTGAATTATCGGTTTTGAATAATTATTCACTCGTCCATAAGTATTAAACTACTCAGTAACATTTTCTCAAATTTGTTATGTAGCTTTCTTGGGTCGATGGATTCATTAACCTATCAGGCGGAATGGAAATAATACCAAATAATTATAATTCGATAATTCACCCTGTATCTCTGTTATAAAGACTATGAGACTTTTCCTGAAGCTGAACCTGTATTTCAATTCTGCCTGATAGGTCAATGAATCCATCGTCCCAAGTAAGCTCAATACCAAATTTGCGAAAATATTACTGCGACGGGTAGTTAAATACTTATGGACGAGTGAATAATTATTCGAAACCGATAATTCACCCTGTAGTAAGTTCTTTCGAACGATCATTCAACAAGAATATATCAAATAATCATAATTGAAACTGGTTTCGTGATTTTAATACTCCTCGAATTGACATACTTTTAAATACTGTTTATGATTGTTACGATGAGAATTGGTGGCGGGAAAACAGAAAGCATCAAATACAGTTCAGTTTTTCCTCCTCTTCACGATTCCTTTGATGAACTCTTTCAATTATTACATAAAGTGCGTTATTTTGATATTTCGAATAAATGTAAATTTTTCCTGAAGCCGAACCTGGATTTTCACTTCGTCCGATAGGTGAATGAATTCAACGTCATAAGTATAAGCTCCATACCAAATTTTAGAAAAATATACTGGGTAGTTCAATACTTATAGACAAATGAATAATTATTCGAAATCGATAAATCGCCCTGTATCTCCATTATGAAGACTCTAAGACCTATCAAATATGGTATTTTCAGAACCATTTTGGTGACTCTTATGTAACATTGAAATATTTCCCTTTATCTGTTGAACACCCTGTATACAATATATGCAATATATGCGATATATGTCAAAGTATTAGCGTAGAAATGGTTTGCTTTTTAAGATCCAAGATGATTTTTTATTTTTTTGTATAGTTTGCCTTTGAGTTCATTTGGCAGTATGTTATAAATTTTTGGCCCTTTATAAAATACTTCGCTGAATAGTTACCTGGATGTAGTAGGAACAATTACATTTTCATTTGTTACTGATCTATTTGTTGAAACATGATTAACTTTCGGTGCATTAATTTTTTTCGTGATTGCAACAGATTTTAAGTATCATTGAGAAATGTCAAGAACTCTTGCATCTTCAAAGAGTTCGTCAGTAGGTCATATTTTGTTTCTAAACATCCACTTTTAATATTATTTGGAGACAAATTATGTTGTTTTGTAGCTCAGCGATATTGAAAATCTGATTTGTAGCTCAGCGATATTGAAAATCTGAGGGGGTGAATCTGGGGATCGTTCTGGCCATCGTATATGGCTAAAATTTCCAAACTGATTATTCAGATGTCCAGTACATCATTCGTCTGACTCCGTCTTTAGATTTTTGGTAAAGGTGGACAAAATGTATTATATGATATGCTATTGAGTTGTTGATTTGACATTATAGAGTTTAATACATCATTGTGTTCGTAAGCTAATAAGCTATCCAAACATGCCATAATAATATGGGGGTGTAATTAAGAAAAGTTTGTGGTATGTGCTAAGGAGTGGTTCATCCAGGGGTAGTTTTAACGATCAATTCTTGTGCAATTCTCTTTTTCATTCCAGCCAGTTTTTTCAGAACGTTGATAATCTCACGTGTTTTCGAGAAATTTCGTGTAAAAATATACTTGGGACACCCGGTATGAATACTGGAAAGTATCTTAAAAAAATCCCAGCTCTGATTATAATAATTATAGAATATCTGTTTCAGTTCCGCGAACAAGCCACGTTGACAGGAGTAGCTCAAGCGGTGGTCGACAAGGCAGTCCGTCTCCACCACGACTGGTACATGTCCAACTCGCTACATCCCTCGTGCATCCCGAAACGCGAAGACATCACCCTCGTCCTCAGAAACTTCAATTTCCATATGCCGAACGCGATCACTTCCCCTACTACCCCAACGGTGACCTTCAATCCGGTGGTCACCGCCAACAGCCTGTCCGACCAATCGGACTACAGTGCCACTTCCACGACTATGAATAATTCGAATATAACCACGAGGACCAGCGATACAACGAGTAGTAGTTCCAGAACCGAGACAGACGATGGTATCGGGCCTGATCAGAAAATCGAGGCCTATACGGACTTTTCCGATTTTTATAGGAATTTTGAGAAGGCAAAACGGGAAGGGACTTTACCAGAAGAGTTGAATTTCTGACACACCTACTCATGAGAAACATCAAGATCTCAAATGTTTTCGAGTTTTCAACAGATAACTAAATACGCAAATACTGATCAATCTCACTGGAGATACCCTGGTCGAGGATAGAGTTGTGAGGTTATTGAACGGAAAAGAGAGACTAGAGGAGTCGAAGATATCAAGATAACAGAGCTTACATACTCCATTTAGTTATAAGAGGTTTTGAATGATATTAGTTGTCAAAGACATTTTACAAAAATCGGTGCTGAACGAGTGATACGAGTAGTACTAAAACCTAGATGGTAGGTGGTATCGGACCCCATAGAAGTCGAGGCCTATGAGGACTTTACCTATTTGAGAAAGTGATACAAGATTTTTGGCATCCTTATAAGAAACGTCAAGATCCGATGTTTTTCTGAATCTTTCACCAGATGACTGGATGTTATTGTGTTATTTTTGTCAAGTTATATATGTTCTCTTTCATTAAAGATGTGGTTGAACTATTCACGGAAGGATATCAATTTCATTCTTAAAAACTATGAATAATTCGAATATAACCACGAGGACAGCGATACGAGTAGTCCCAGAACCGAGACAGACGATGGTATCGGGCCTGATCAGAAAATCGAGGCCTATACGGACTTTCCCGATTTTTATAAGAATTTTGAGAAGGCAAAACGGGAAGGGACTTTACCAGAAGAGTTTAATTTTTGACACACCTACTCATAAGAAACATCAAGATCTCAAATGTTTTCAAGTTTTCAACAGATAACTGAATACACAAATGCTGATCAATCTCACTAAAGATACCCTGATCGAGGATAGAGTTGTGAGGTTATTGAACGGATAAGAGAGACTAGAAAAGTGGAAGATATCAAGATAACAGAGCTTACATACTCCATTTATTTATAAGAGGTTTGGAATATTAGTTGACGAAGACATTTTACAAAAATCGGTGCTGAACGAGTGATACGAGCAGTAGTTCGAAAACCTAGACCGACGATGGTATCGGACCCGATCGAAAAGTCGAGGCCTACGAGGACCTTTTCCATTTTTATAGAAATTTCGAGAAAATGATTTTTGACATCCTTATAAGAAACGTCAAGATCCGAAATGTCTTTCTGAATAGAATGAAGAAATATATCAATTTCCATCTGCCGAACGCGATAAACGCAGACAAGTCGACTCAATAACAAATTATAAATAAACAAAAAATAAATTGAAGTAAATGTTGGCAGTGTTCAGTACAGACTATCCCATTTTTGATGTCAGGGGATTTCTCCCTTATTTTTCAAGAATTGAAAATGTTACATTTTGGGACCACCCTTGTATCTCAGCGATCTTTCAACAGGAAAAGTAAAAACTGTCACTTATATAGTTTTTCTCGTGGGATCCAGTGGCGTAGTAAGATATTCAATATAAACTGTTATTATTTAGATATAACCCAAAGTTATGTTTTTTTTAAATGGAACACCCTGTATATTTTTTCATATTTGAATTATTGATGCTTTGTGCTGTCCACCCTATATATCGAAAAAATCTCCAAAATGCTTAAAATGATGAATTCCTAGAAAGTATCAACCACACCATTTCAAATAGATATCTTCAAAAGTGAGCGATATTTTAATTACTAAAAAATAATAATTAAACTTTTACACCCTGTAGACTGTAGATCCGCTACAGATCGAGATCGGACTCATAACAGACTAAATTTTGCCTCCACGATGAGCCATACAGGGTGGACATGATCTCGCAATACAGGGTCGTGCAGAATTCAGAATCTTGATCACATGGTATATGTCCCAATTAAATATCAGTAGATAGTTAATCAAAAGTTGAGATAGGGACATGTAAGCCGTTTTGACCAATAATGAATAGTTTCGACAAAAAAAATTCCTAAAGTTGAAAAATGACGATTTTTCACACCCTATATCTCTGTAATCATTTCCGCTAGACCCCAAGTGTGATGCATCGATGAAATCAGCTCTTCAGAGAGAATCTTAAAATGCAATAGAAGCGGCAACGCCGCAGAGCTGAAAATATTTTAGATCGATAGACTAAGAGCAACTACGTGAGTAACCAAAATTTCAAAATGATCCTATGTCCCGTTCTCCGTAAACGTCTAACGTACCATGGACCGTGAGTTACCCTGTATAAACATGTGAAATTTTGAAAAAAAAAATAGTATTCTACGTGTTAATGTTAATTAAGAATCAAGTTACACTTAGACGTTAGCGCCAAGAATGTCTTGAAACTGTCTCAAGTAACCCTGTTTGCAAGGTACGGGACATTTAGGAACACCTCATATAAACAAATATAATAGACGTTTATGTGTTATAGTAAAATTCCTCATTTAATGAAAAGCATACAGGCCCTTCAACAAAATCATGACATCAACATCAAACACACCTCTTGCCACTTTTCAAGGGTTAGACAATTCATATTATGAGGTTGGCTACATAGAACTCAATTCTAGAGTTTGATTGAAATTGGCGCCACTGTTGAAATTATTGTATTTCTATCAAAACAAAAACTGCTGCATTGTTGAAATCGAAAATAACAGCAAGAACATGTTCCTGAGCCCTTTATTTATAAAATTAATTATAATTGATATTGACACATAGCAATGCATTCGACAAATGACACAAGTTTGACAGTAGTTGCTGCCTACACATAGAGAACAGAATGTCTGATCCTTTCAAAGTTGAATATGGTCAATTCCATCATCCTTCTGATCATATCCATCAAATCGAGGGCTATAGGTGTAGACTCTATAAGTGTAGACATGTTACTCCATTCTTGCCCTCTCGTCCTCAAACATATCAGGCACATTTTCAACTATTGTTTAGAGAAAAATACCTATCCATCTATATGGAAGAAAGCTGTTGTACTCCCTCTGCCTAAATTAAGTCATCCCACAGAATACAAACACCTCAGGCCAATAAGCATACTCTGTGTTCTGTCGAAAGTTTTCGAGAAGTTAATCTACACACAAATGAAAGCCTACTTAGAAGACAGCCATCTACTCCCTTCACATCAATCGGGATTTAGGTCACATCATAGCTGCAACACAGCGCTACTAAAAGTGACCGATGACATACTCAAATATATAGATAATAAAATGCTGGTATTGCTGATATTCTTAGATTACACTAAAGCATTTGACAGAATCAAACATGATCTCCTCTTAGCTATACTTCATTATATTGGATTCAGTGATGATTCTGTTCAATTTTTCGAAACCTACTTACTCAATCGTTTTCAAGCTGTCAAACTCGAGAACCAACTTTCTGATTTTGTTCATATTGCGAATGGAGTTCCTCAAGGATCTATTTTGGGTCCGTTACTTTTCATCATGTACACCGTCGATTTGCACACAGTCATAAAATTTTCTAGCAGTCATTTCTATGCAGATGATGTTCAGCTATATTTACCCTTCACTGAAAATAACTTGGATAATGCTGTTCAGTATCTGAACGATGATTTGACCTCGATAGTTGATATCTCGAACAAACTTTGTCTTTCTATCAATCCAGCAAAGTCAAATGTGATTTTATTCGGCCGGAAAGAAATCCGAATGAGGTGCTTACCACAAATCATCCTCAAAGTTGATGATGAAGTAATTCCGTTCACAGATACTGTGAAAAACTTAGGTTTGTTCATGGATCATACACTTAGATATACTAAGCATGTGAATACTATCATTAAGAGGGCCTTTTGCAACTTGAAACTGATATATTCTAACAAATCATTTTTGGATAAAAAAAGTAAAACCATATTGTGTGAAACCTTAGTTCTGTCTCACTTCAATCATGCGGATGTTGTCTACGGCCCAGCATTACTGAAATCAGATCTGAATAGACTTCAACTGGTACAAAACTCTTGTGTCCGCTTGATTTATGGCTTGAGGAAACGCCACAAAATTTCAACTCCATTACGCGAACTTGGTTGGCTGAACGTACAAAAAAGAATCTTGCTACATCAATGCGTAATGTTTCATAAAATTATTCTTCAAAGGAAGCCACCTTACCTATTCGAGAAAATTTCTTTCAGAACAGACGTCCACAATATAAACATCAGATTCAAATCAAAATTAACACCACCTTTGCATAGAACCACTTTCTATCAGTCCTCATTTTCTTACACGGTATCTCGGCTATATAATAAGGTTCCAGATAATCTGAAAAATGTACCCATTGAGGCTTTCAAAATGAAATTGAGAAAGTTATTGTTAACGGATCAGATAAGATTCTAGATGCTCCCCTTTGTTTGTTTGTTTTCATTATTGATTTTTTTTTCTTTTTTCTTCCTCTACTTAGGTCTAGTACTCATCATTATAATTAGCATTGTTTTCATTCCTTTTTGGTCAGCATTCTCGGAATAGTATTCATATATGAATATTTTTATTTATAAATATACATATATCTATAGAACACAATAATATGTAATTCAAAATATTATTTTTTTTTTGTTGTTGTTGTTTTGTTCAGGTTGAGTGTAAGAAAGTAATTACCCATTTCACCATGGGTATACGCTAACTCTGCCTTTTGATAGTAGACTACCATGTTTATAATGTGCTTTACTGTTACTTTGTTTTTACTATCAATAAAAGCGTTTATTATTATTATTATTATTATTATATTCAAGTGTAGAGGAGACTAATAAAATCAAATAGCAAATATTAGCACAGTGGAAATTTATTTTTATCATTTTATTGTCCCTAGCAATTAACAGTCTACATAACTTGAAGGATATCATTCATAACTTTTGATATTACCTGACAATGTTTGTAATGTAGCAATACTGGGCAGTGGGTACTTTAAGGCTTCTCTCAGGTAAACGTAACTGCTTTTTCCCCAAATGCCACAATGCTTTTGGAAGCTCTCCATTTGTCCACCTGATTTTGCTCTTTTTCTTTAGAGCAATATCCACTTGATTTCATGACACAAAATCTTCAAACAGATCCTTGATCCTGTTTTCAGAGATCGTTCAATTTCATTTTCAAGTTCAGCAATTCCATTTTTAAAATCATTGTTGTTCTTGTTCAATTCGCCCCTCAAAGTTTCATTTCATGCACCTAATTCTTCCAATTTTTTTCTCAATATATCATTTTCCGTCTGTAATTCTTCCAACTTATTCCTCAGTATATCATTTCCTATCAGAAGAAGTCTCTTCTGTTTTTCAAAAACTTGTCCCTGCTCAGCCAATTGTTTAGAAACATCTGAAAATAAATTAATTTAATACAGAAAGTACCTACTGTACAAACTTTTTATATTCCATAAAGAAATATTCAATAACAAAATAAAAAAATTGAGTAGAAAGTAACAAAGAATACCGTCATCATGCTCCACAGATTGCTCAACAATTCCGTTTTCAGCTGGTTCATGTTCTTCTGAAGGAACAGGAACTAATTCTTGCTGGTCTTCTGAAGCCGAGAGGTACAATGATGGTACAGCTATAAAAATACATTATGCTATAATTTTCTCAGGAGATTTCAATCACAACTTTTAGTACACACTTCACCTGATTTTTTTAATATCTTTGGAGCAGTGTTTAAAAGCTTTGCTTTCAGCCAATCTTGATAGTCTTCTGGCACAAAATGTCTA